CGGCCGTGTCCGAGGCGCAACCTGCCGTCGGCGCCGTGTCCGAGGCGCAACCCTGCCGTACGGGCGGCCGAGTCCGAGGCGCAACCCTGCCGCCGGGACGCCCGAGGCGTCCGAGACGAGCGCCCTGCCGCCGGGACGGCCGTGTCCGAGGCGCAGCCCGGCTGTATCGAGGCGGGGGCGAGCCCGTCAGGCGGCCCGTCCGAGGCGCAAGCCTGCCGTCCGACGGCCGCTTCCCGAGGCCGCAGCCCTGCCATCCGACGGCCGTGTCTGCCCGGCACCTGGAAGCTCAAGCCGGCCGCGCCGGCATCCGTCGCTGGCGTGTGTGCGGTGTGGCCCGGCGACCGGCGCTGCAAGCGGCGCACCGGGGCCGAGCCCGGTCTGCCAGCGGTGGGCCGGGTCGTCCAGGCCGACCGCCGCCGCCCCGCGCTCTCTCCACAACCTGTCGGGAACTGCGGCTGGAGCTGTGGTTAGCGCCTGCGGAGGGCGGGTGCTTGTACGGAGAAGGCGTCGCTGCTTCGCTGGGAGGGATGCTCACTGCTCAGAGGTGCGGCCAGTCATGCGTGACCTGCTGAAGGCGGCTGATGGCCGCGCTGCTCTCGGAATACGCCGGCCCGCCGCCGTGGTGGGCCCGAGCGTTCGCTTTGCGGGTGTGTGTTTTGCTCCGCCATGTTTCACGTGTCGGCGCCGTGTCGCCCGGGCCCCAGGGGACATGTTAGTGGCTGCCGCGTGCTTGTTTTGCGCATCACCTTAATTGTTTCTCAGCATGCAGGCAGCAGCCGAGCCACGTTTGAAGCTGGCTGGTGTTTAAGCTGACTGACCCGGTCTGATCTGATCTGACCTGAAGTGACCTGGCTTGGCCTGACCTGGTTCGCAGTGTACAACACGCCGCCATCCAGCCGCCGTCGGGTGGTTGCCAGTCCCAAGCTTCTCCGGCTGGCGGCGCGCCAAAACCGTAACAACCGCTCCAATACGATCGGCGTGGACAGTCAACAGGCACTCTCAGGTAATGCGACACGACAGGTATAGCGAGAACCAATGTCTGATGGATTCAGGGAACCAAGGGTGTGAAATCCATCGAAACGGACATCGAAGTAATTCTTCGATGTCCGATGGAACACTGCGTATGGTTTATAAGTTGGTGTTATGAGGCGCACGAACTGCTCGGTGCTCTCATCCCCTTATGATCTACGCTCGTGTTAAGAATACCTACGGCTGCCATGTCCCCGGCCCCTACGCTCCCCACAGTTAGCAGCGCGGACTTCCAGTCTGTGATGCAACATGGTACGATGCACGTTCACCGCACCGCATCAGAAAGGGTCGCCCATGGCAGTGGCGTAGCCAAGGCGAGCTTTAAGAAGCATGCCGCCCCCAGGATGTGACAAACAGGAGGAGAAACCGAAGGTTCCAGCACGTTTTGGCGGTTTAAGACCTCCTTAGGGCATCTCAAATATCCACAGGCGGTCCCGAGGCAACAATATAGGATACTGAGCCTGCAAAGATCCGCTGAATATAGAGGGGCTCTATAGCGACGAAGAGGCTCCCTTCGATACATGCCCTGAGCCCCTGATAATGCGATTCGGCCACTTTGATACAAGAGCCCCTGATGATCCGATTCGGCCCCTTTGATGCAAGAGCCCCTGATGATCCGATTCGGCCCGTTTGATACAAGAGCCCCTGATGATCCGATTCGGCCCCTTTGACACAAGAGCCCCTGATGATCCGATTCGGCCCGTTTGATACAAGAGCCCCTGATGATCCGATTCGGCCACTTTGATACAAGAGCCCCTGATGATCCGATTCGGCCTCTTTGATACAAGAGCCCTGGATGATCCGATTCGGCCACTTTGATACAAGAGCCCCTGATGATCTGACTCGGCCCGTTTGATACAAGAGCCCCTGATGATCCGATTTGGCCCCTTCCTGGTTGAAATTCTAGCAACCCGATGGGCCTCCGTCACGTATTGTTTCACAATACTCAGCGTGGCAACTCTTTCGAAGAGTTAGGCAAATTAAATTCATTATCACTTGGAGTCGCTCCCTTGCTTTCTAGTAAGGCAGATGAAGCTTATCATAATTAGTTGCAGACTTCACATCGTTTGCATTTGAGCCGTGCTTCAGTGTGGCAGTGACTGAGGGTCGTCATTTCTTTCGCGCAGCCCTCTGCCCGGAAAACGCAACTGGTCGGGACTACATGATAACTCGGCTCAGCTCGCTGCGGTCCATAGGTGTGTGTGTGTGTGTGTCCATGTCCCACCAGCCCTCGGCAGTGCTGTCCAAACCCGCTCACATGAGTGATGCTTCTTATTTTTAGTCGTGACTGTGCCTGTTTTTGAGCTTGTGCATAACGATATTTAATGCTAAAAGGCAGCGAGCCGTGATAGGCTGGCGCGCACGGGAAGCAGCGAACGGGCGGTTTAAGGGATGTAGAGAAAGAAACATTGGAGATGATGCGATGGAAGGGACCGCTCGGAAGGCACATCTACGCGACTGGCGCCGTTCAGCTTGCCGCCGGCCTTGCCGTCTGCCGCGTCCATGTCCAGTTGACACGCCCGAGTCGCTCCAGCCTTGAGTCCCTGGCGCTCCATGAGTGCCTCGCCCGCCCCGCCGCCGACCGGGGCGTGCCTGTGTACTGTGCAGCGCCCCCCCCCCCCACCTCCCCCCCCACCTCCCCCCCCCCCACCGGCAGGCCTGCCGTGGGTCCGCGCGGCAACAGCGGGCCGGAGCCGCGGAGCGTCACGCGACTCGAGTGCTCGTCACGTCACGTGACGGCATGTCGCTGGCGGCGCTGTCTGAGCCTGGCACTCCTGCTGGCAGCCTCGCGCCTCCCGATGGCTGCAGACCTTGTGCCGGGTGTGGGAGCAGATGCGAGGGCGTTGCCGCGCTGCGGATGCTGCTCGGCGCGGATCGAGTGTGGCCGTGGGCGGCGGCCGGCGCCGCCGACCGGCAGGTGATTTGCGGACTCCGGTGATTCGCGGACTCCGGTGATCACCGGAGTCTGGTCGCTGGCGTATCGCCGGCTGCTGCGCTGGGTGCTGGCACAGCACGAAGTCGGCTCCCCATCGACCGTCTGTCGCCCTGCCCCTGCCGCTGCGAGACGCCATCCCGGTAGCGGACGTTCTCCGGCCGGGCCGCGTCCGAAGCTTCCTGAGAGCTCTTGCTCGGGCGCGGCCCGGCCGCAGTGGCTCGGCAGGCCAAGTTTAGCCGCCACCGGCGCCGTTATGCCGCCAATCTGTCGGAGGTGGCCCGCTGTAAAGCCGGCAGCCAGCCGTATAAAGCCGGCGCTGATGGCCAAATTCGGCTGGTGAGCGGTGGCAGAGCTCCGGTGTCGCGCTCCTCACCGCCCCTCCGCGCGACGCGATCACACCGCGAACACCGCCGACGCGTGCCCCCTGCCCCGGCCCAATGGCGCGGGCGGCGCGGTCCGAACGTCGCTGGGCTGGCTCTACGGCCGCGGTCTGGGGCCGGCTGACCTGCGCAGCTGCCCGGCTCGGTCGTCGGGGAGCGGGGACCGGGGACCGTCCCGAGCCGGTACCGAGACGGCCTGTGACGTCATGGGCGGCGCGGGGCCCGCCGGTCGGCCCCAGTTTGCATGATGCACGGCCTGTTGTCGATGCCCCGGGACAGGCGGCCGGCCGTATTCGGGCGCGCCGATGGTATCGGGGCCACGGCGCGCCGCACCGGCCGGCGCCCGCCGATCGTATCACCGGCTGGTCCCCCTGCCGCCGGCGCTCACCTGGTCCGCGGCCGTGCGCCATGAGCGGAGGGGGCGCGGGCGGCCACCGTCCGCGCGCCGGAAGAGCGCCGCGGACGGCGTGTTCGGCGGGATGAGGTGGTGGTGCGCGCCACGCCGTCTTGGCACGCTGAACCCACCTGTTGGCAGACCTTACACCGGGTCACGTGGTGGGTAGGGGCCAGTGGTGGGTCATGGAAGGGGGTGCTGTGTCTGGGTGTTGAATTAATGGATGGCTGTGGCGGTTGTTGCATTGATGAGTACATCTCCTTGTTTTTGACAGCCACACCACAAGTTTCATGTTTTGAGCTACCGGTGATGTCCAAATCCTCTACTGTACCCTAAACCGAAGTTTCAGTGAGCCTCGAAACCCTCATCGCCATCTAAGACCTCCTCATTCCCACGCAGTAGACGCATTAGGGCTGCTCCCGTTCGTCGCGTTGGAACTCTAACAATCCACACTTGATTGACGCTGCAAATTTGTGTGGCATGCAGTTGATTTCTGCCGTCTGTTCTCATATTGAAATGCTCTAGTAGAATAAGTTGCTGTCTCCATTTACCATGTCACTGATACATTTCTCATCTCTATTGCATTCGAGATTTATTCGTCAGAACAGAACCTGAGCTTTCTAAATTCACTTGATATCAGTTGAAGGCTTGAACAAATGATCTCATGTGTCTTCCTGCATCCCACTTTGCATAGCTCTCTGCATCGCACGCCATCTTGCATAGTAATATGGTGGGGGACGGGGCGAAGAGTAAAGCTGCCGATCTGCGAACCTGCAGGCCAGTACCGGCGCTGTTCCCTGCGGCGTTCGACCCGTCTATCTCAGGTGCGGCTGACGACACGTGCCGCCGCCGCCGCTGACCGGCCCCCGTCCCTCAGACACGGACGAGGAGGGCGGCCGGCCGGAGGATAGCGCGCTGTACGCGCGGCTGGGTCTGCTGCTCGGTTCGGGCGCCGAACCGCGCTCCCCGGGCTCGGAGCGCTCGCGCTCCAGTCGCTCGGGCGCCAGCTCGGGCCGCGACTCGCACGCTTCACTGGCGCACCTCGACGCCAAGTCGGCCAACACCAGCCCCGTCTCGACACTCACCGGTGAGGCGACCAGGCACGGGGTCAGAGGGGTGCCTGCCGGCGGGAAGCACAGGACGGGATGGTTGGGTGGGCAGGATGTGGTTAAACCGAGGGTGAGGAAGGCAAAACAAGATCGGCAGGTGAGGGGATGTAGGAGTACGGACAGATTAAAAGGACCGGGGATATGAATGGGCCCGACACTGTCGTGACGCATCCTGCTAGATCGCTGTGCCGATGGGAAAACCTCGAAGCAGTGCGGAGACTACTCTTCAGACAAGTGACATGTGATAGACGACTGGCCTGGGCTCGCTGGGGAACAGCGTGCAAGACCGACTCGCTGGTACCGTCTGCACTGAAATCGCAATAAAGTAATACAGACACTTTGTTTCAATTCGCCGCTGTCGGCCAACCGGCCGGTAATTGATACTGAGTCGCCAAATCTGCTGGGCACGAAACGCTCGCCATCCTTGCTGGCCTGGAGGAGCGTAGGGTTTCCTGTGTCACGAGGCCACTTCACCACGCTACAAATATGTGTGTTACGTTGTCGGCCATGTGCCTCAACGCGTGGTGCTGCTTGCAGGTTCGAGTGAGTCTGAGCTGGCGCACCTGCGCTCGGAGCGGAGACACGACAGCTTCGGCTCGCTGATGTCCATGTCGCTGAGTGGCTCCACCACCTCTGCCAGCCCGCTCATCACAGCTCGGCGCAACTCGATCGGTGAGCGAGTGTCCTGCCCTGCGCTGCGCATGCGCCCTGACCTGGTCGCCACCGTCCGCGAGCACCGCCTCGGACGCTGCCGGTCGACCCGCCGGCGGAGCGGCCGTTGCTTGAGCCGGGCGTAGAACGGGTGCGGCCTATTTATTTACGGCCGGCCGGTATCGCGTCTGTGATCGGCGTCCGTCCGCTCAATCAGCGGTGCACGTGAGCTACGGCCACGCCGCCACGGGTGGACGCGCCTCGCCGGCGGCGCCGGCCGGCCGGCTGCCGGCGCCGCTTACATGCACGGCCGCGGCGACCCGGCGGCAGCCCGCAGGGTGGCGCGGTTTTGACGTGGTCTGGTGCGGGAGGCCGCCCAGTGTGCTGCCGTTGCCGTGTGTCGCCTGCCATGCACGTCGCAATTGCCGTGGTCCACGGACGTGTGTCCGGTTTTGCACGCTCGGCGGCGTGGTGCGCCGCCGCCGCCCGCTGCGCCGCACTCTGTTGGCCTGCTCTGTAGCCTGCTGTTCCGCGGCGCCAGGTGGCCACGGAGCTGTCGACGAGCCGGGCGCGTTCCGCAGTCCTCGCGGCCAGCCGGGCAGGAGGTCGGCCCGCTGTCTTCGGGTCACGCCGCCCGCCGAAGCCAAAGGTGCGGCCATCCCCCGTCTGGCGGTGTCAGTGAGCCGCTGGGTGTGGCTGAGTACAGCGCACCGCTGTGCTCGGCGTGTGGATAGATGGAGGGACGGAGCGGAACTGTCTCGGGGATGTGCGTGGTTGTGGTTGGTGACGGAAGGAGAATACAGATTAGCTTTTGTGGTGGGGGTAACAAAGATAATACTAGCCGCACATGTACTGATGTAACGCACTCAGTTATTGGACCATACGACCATATAGCCTAGCAGGCACAACCAAAGAAATAATAAATGTCTAAAAAGGTGCGGACGTCATGATGTGCTATGCATACATAAACCGATTACATTAAATCCCGCCTGAGGAGTGCTGCAAGAAATAGGTAGGGCCGTAGTACACGGAAGCTGGGCACAGTACGGCCCCGAGACGCCCACTGAGTAAGGCGGTAGCGTGTCTGCACTCTTATAATCCGCCGCGAGTCTGGAAGACTGCATTTTTCCACCTCATCATCCAGTGAGCTGTCTGGTCCATCATATGCCGTGCCCAAAACGAGCCTCTTCCACATTCAAGCCATTATCCCGGATGTCTGTAAAAACCCTTAGCCCTTTCCTTTCACCACTTTTCATCCGTTCCTTCGTTCCGGTACTCCTTTAATTTTCCTCTACCTCCCCATGGCCTTCATCCGCCCTATATCTGTCGTGCGACAGTCATCCTCCTGTCCCCTTTAATGTGGCTCACACGCCGTCGTCCTCTCTGTGGTCCACCCTTATCGTATCCCTTTTGTGTGTCCTTGCATTACATTACATTGAGCTTACTCCGTTAAGGCGGGATCTCCGCCGTACCCAGTGGCGTGCAGAAATCAACCGATCAGTGCCCTACTCGGCTTCCTCTGACGTGGTCCCTCCCTCCTCCGCAGTTTGCCCCTCGCCGTCCTTCCCTGCCTCCCCCCCCCCCCCTCTTTGATACGACCTTCTTTCGGCAGAGCGCTTCTCATCATCCCACCCCCCGCCTCCTCTGACGCGACCTTCCCCCCGCAGCCCGCCTCTCGTCGTTCCTCCCACGCCTCCCCTGACGCGACCCTCCCCCGCAGCGCGCGTCTCGCCGTTCCGGCCGGCGCCTCTCAGTCTGAAGCCGCTGTTCTTCGAGGTGCCGCAGCAGGAGCAGGACCCGCTGTTCGTAGGCCGTCGCTGGCTGTTCGCCGAACTGAGCCGGGTGCTGCTCGGCTCGCCCAGCCGCGGCTGCGTTCTCGCCGGCAGCGTCGGCACCGGCAAGACGGCCGCCCTCCTCCAGCTGGTCGACTACAGCTGCTTCGGCCGCCGCGCCGCTCGGGAGGACGCCCTCTACCAGGGTGAGTGACGCCTTCGGAGGTGGTTTTGCACAGAGGCAGACGAGGCAGACGGCGGTCCAGAACCCGGTACAAAGCTGATCCGTTACACTTTTAGGTTGAAAAACGTGATGGACGCGATGACTTGTGAGAGCATCCGAAAAAAAATGAGGCGAGTGTATGAAGAGGCCCTGTAGCGAGCATGATCTCTCGAAAGTGCAAGGCACCTGACGTACTCGTAGGCAGTTTACTGTTGAGGTGAAACTGAGAATGAACGTGTTACGATGACTGCTGTCAAGGCGAGGCCTAGCAGAATTTGGCTGGGAGCTCCTTACCAGGACGGCTTTGATTTTATGGTGCCGAGTCGTGCCAAGCTGATTGGTGCGGTGCATACCACTCGTGATCTAAGTTTCCTTCGCTCACGTTTAGCGGTGGTAATGCCACTGTGATGAATTGCCTAACCTTTCGGAAGCTTAGCCATAGTGAAAAAACAAAACAGCTCTTATGCCTCAAGCAGTAGGTAATAATGCAGCCGTTGTGCAACGAGCACGAGCAAGCATGAAGTGCTGCACTGGCCAAATGACATCGGAGCGAGGTCCGCGCTTAATCCCTGATAAAACCAGCTCATAGCACGTTGTCGTTGTCTCATTTGTCTTAATCACAAATATCAATGGATGCTTGATTTGATTCGCAGAACGTGATGACTGGGCTCTTACAGTTGAACCGTCTTATGCTTCTACGTGCTATTTTCCAGTGCCAGTTGCACTGCCTTTGTAGGACCATTTTCGGCGAGATAAGCAATGATCATGCATTTGCAGCTTCAAAGGTGGATTGTTCTTTTCCCTCGACGTTGAGTATAAGCCCATTTCTTCTATCCGCCTGCTTCTCAGGCTTGTCGGGTCGTAAGCTGTACGCCTTTGGCTCGTGCTGTAAGCTGTACGCCTTTGGCTTGGTCCGACGCCACGAACTCGCCGGCGATGCACCTGGCTTATTTCTCAGCGTATCGCATCCTTCTTTACTTCTTGTTTCCCTCCACCGAGGTCGCCTGGCCGTTGAGGTCAGCCGGTAGGTTACACATACCAGCGACCGATGCCGTGTGACCGTGTGACCAGCCCTCGACCCCGACGCTCCGAGGTCGAGCCGCCTCCGGCACTGACCTGGACCGTGCCCGTCCAACAGACGCATTCTCGGGCGGCCCCGGCCGGCCCCGAGCCGTCGTTGGCGGCGGCGGTCTCTTCTCTAGCGTCTGCGCGGTGCCGGAGGAGCTGCGCGGTCTCGGCAGCCGCGTGGTGGCATACCACTTCTGTCAGGTTAGCAGTGACTTGCGGTTTGCATATTAATTGTTGTCTTGACCTCGGCACACGTTACTGTGCGGTGGTATTAAACGTTTGGATTATTAGTTTGATGTTCAACAGCAAAAGTAGCCGTCCTTGAGATGGGTCCGGAGCATTCCCCCGCTGGAAAGTTTTTCCAACATTACCAGTGCTGGCCCGCAGAGCGTATGCGTTGCATCGAATCCGTCCTGAAAATTGATCGATGTAAAACATATGCACGCTCCCATCGTGCTTCCACGACCGGCTGGTGTGTTGCGAGCGAACGGAGCCGCACAGAGAGCCGCCCCTTTCTGCCTTGTCCGCCAGTCCCTCACTCCACCTCTCCCCGCAGGCGGACAACAGCGCCACCTGTCTGGTGCCCGATTTCGTGCACTCGGTGGCGGCGCAGCTGTGCCAGGCGCCGCAGCTGACCGCCTACCGGGAGCACGTGCAGCGCTCGCCGGCACTGCAGGCGGCGCTGGCGCTGCGCTCGTGCGTCAGCGACCCGTCGGCGGCGCTGTCGCGCGGCGTGCTGGAGCCGCTGCAGCTGCTGCGCCGCACCGGCCAGCTCACGGGCGAGACATGTCTGGTGGTGCTGGACGCCCTCGGAGAGGCCGAGTACCATAAGCCAGGTGGGTCTGGAGCCGGGGTGCGCAGGCAGCGGGGACTCGACTGTTCTTGGTCGGTGCTTATGTCGGCGGGATGAGCCAGTGCTGAATTAACAACACGTGCTGTATTTCATGTTTAGTTTAGTAATAAGCACTGGCGAGGACGGCTCTAGTTACGAGCAGATGACTTTTTGTACACTTTATTTAATGCGCAGAAGTTGGCCAGAAGTCAGGCGTTTGTTCCTTGGCAGCTAAGAGCTAGGACACACAATACATGTACGGGCCTTCAAGCGGTGACCTGGGAGGCGTGGCTCGCCGTGGCGCACTCTGACTCGGTCTGTTTGCCCGCAGAGTACGGCGACAACCTGGCAGCTTTCCTGGCGCGCCACCTGATGATGTTCCCGTCGTGGCTGAAGATGGTAGTGACGGTGCGCTCCCAGATGCAGGGCATCGCCAGCCTGCTGCCGTTCCACAAGCTGAACCTGGACCGACTGCGCGACACAGACGAGCTGCAGAAGGACCTGGCCGACTACATCGCCTTCCGCATCAACAACTCGCCCTCCATCACCAGCAGCATCCAGGTGACGGGCGCCAAGGTGGAGGGCAGCAGCCAGTCCCGCTTCATCGCCCACCTGGCCGAGCTGTCGCGCGGTTCCTTTCTCTTCATCAAGCTGACGCTTGACCTGATCGAGCGCGGCCACCTGGTGATGAAGTCCTCCAGTTTCAAGGTCCTGCCGGTGAGCCTCAACGAGATCTTCCTGCTTAACTTCAACCTCAAGTTCCCGACGCAGCGGTCCTACGAACAGGTGCAGCCCATCCTTACAAGCTGCTTGGCCAGCCTCTGTCCGATGAACGCCTACGAGATCTATCACTCGGTGAATGCCAGCTGCACGCAGACGGCCCTTGGCTGGGACGAGTTCCTGCGCCGCTTCAAGACGCTCTCGGGCTTCCTGGCGCGCCGCATGGACGACACGTACATGCTCTTTCACCCGTCGTTCCGTGAGTGGCTGACGCGTCGTGAGGACAACGAGAGCCACAAGTTCCTGCTGGACGTGCGCGTGGGCCACGCCAACATCGCGCTGCGCATGAGCCGGCTGGAGGCGCCGCTCGACGCGCAGAAGACGCTCGAGCTGGGCCACCACGTGCTGAAGGCGCACCTCTACAAGAACTCGCGCGAGCTGCCGGTGCCACCGCGCGACCTGCAGGCGCTCTGGGTGGCCGCGGCGTCGGCCGACCTCTCCGCCGCGCTTGTCGCCGACCGCAACGCGCACAGCCCCAACGTCAAGGTGTCGAACCTGCTGCTGCTGGCCGGCGCCTCCCCGGACGCGTCCTCGCCGCAGCGGGACGGTACGCCGCTTCTCGGCTTGTGTGCCGCCGAGGGATTCGACGAGATGCTGCAGCTGCTGCTGAAGTTCGGCGCGGCGCCAGACGCGGCCAACGCGCGCGGCGCCACGCCGTTGATGCTGGCGGCCGCCGGCGGGCACGCCTGCGCCGTGCAGACGCTGCTGCAGTGCGGCGCCAGCGTTGGCCTGCGCGACGCCGGCCGCCGCTGCGCGCTCGTGCATGCGGCCGTGCACGGCCACCTCAGCGTGGTGGAGTACCTGCTCTGGTGTGACTGGGCGGCCGCCGGCGACCGGCTGACCATGGCCGAGGCGGCGCAGCAGGCGCTGGTGGCGGCCGCGGGCAACGGCCATCTGCAGATCGCCGAGTACCTGCTCGACATGGAGGAGGTCCGTAGAACGCGATAACTTATTTATTTCATCGTGTTACTCAGACTCAGTGTCTTTGCATGTCTTATTGAAGGCGTTTATTCACAGCTATTGTATTTCGTCAGTTGCAGTTGCTTTCTCGCTGGTTTCTTCATCCGTGACAGATTTTCTCTGAACCTCAACCCTGTTTTGCGTTCACCAGGTGGCAGTGAACGCGTGCGACATCCTGCACGGCGAGACGCCGCTGACGATGGCGGCCGCTGCCGGCCACAAGCCGCTGGTTGAGATGCTGCTGCGCCGCGGCGCTACCGTCGCCGCCGCCAACTCGAAGGGGGCTCCGCCGCTGCTGGGCGCCGTGCGGGAGGGCCACTGGGACATCTGCGTGGTGCTGCTGGGCCAGGGGGCGCAGCTGGAGCAGCCGGACGACGCCGGCCGCACGCCGCTCATCGTGGCGGCTAGCGAGGGGCATATGGGCGTGCTCGACCTGCTGATCAGCAAAGGTGTGTGACACTGTCCGCGGGTAATGTGAATGTTCCAGTATGTTTTAGCCGTGTTCAAAAAGCATGGAAATCTCTGCAGCTGCTCTGATTTGTATGTCTCACAACAAGGCTGCTGAAAAACGCGTTTAAGCGATCAGGTTACATCGTAGAAAGGCAGGCATATTGATCGGTAACGGAACTGCTACACTGCACTGCATTCACGTCGTCGCGCGAATCTGTCGGCGGCGTCGGCCCACCATCCTCGCCACCTGGGCGTCAGAGGTGGACGTGTGAGCTGCGCCGGCGCTGCTGGCTGACCAGACGCCTCGCTGCGCAGGTGCCTCGCTGGGCCGGGTGGACCGCGAAGGCCTGGCGGCGCTCTCCTGGGCGTGCCTGAAGGGACAGGCGCGCGTGGTGCGTACCCTGCTGGACGCCGGCGCCGACCTGCAGCACACGGACAGCGCCGGGCGCACGCCGCTCGACCTGGCTGCCTTCTACGGCGACGCAGACGTCGTGTCGGTAGGTGATGGGGCGGGCACGGTCCGGCAGAGACACGCAGGTGTGGTGTGCCGCCAGAGACCGAGCTGGAGTGAACGGTCCGACAGAGACACGCTGGTGTGGTGTGCCGCCAGAGACCGAGCTAGGGTGAAGGCGAAAACGGCTTTAGCCCCCCGTTTCCAGCATTCGTTTCTGTTATTTGTCCGTCACCCTTTCTTGTTCTATGCCGTAAACTTTCCCTGTTTTATGTCCAGGCTTGGAAACATGCAGACATGGAAGTACAATTACCGGTATGTCTGGCATTTATTCGTATGTTTGTATTGTATTCATGTATATTGTTTGTGTTCTGATTATATCGTTATTTCAGCACATATATTACTGTCATTATTTAGGTAAAGGGAGACAAATAACGGAAATGCTAGAAAGACTGGCGTTGAAAGCCTCGCATGTAGAAGCAACAACTTAAGCTTTGCGGTAGTCTAGAGGCCACGTAAGTTTTAAGTGGATTTGGGAGGAACATTATGCATCTACAGTAGAAATAGCCTTCTTCCTCGTAGGAAAACCAGTCAAATGATATCTAACCACTGCGCGTCTGGGAAACCAGAGGTACGGGGTTCGATTCCCCGCGGTTCCCGCCCTTCCTGCCAGGGTGAGAAGCAGGCGATGCCATATAGCCTCAGCAGCTGAGTGCGTCGTAAAGCCCAATGACACACACACGCACACACACACACACACACACACACACACACACACACACACACACACACACACAACACACACACCACCACACCACGCACGCACGACACGCCCACGCACCACGCCACGCACCACGCACGCACGCACACAACCACACACGCACGCACGCACGCACGCACGCACGCACGCACGCACGCACGCACGCACGCACACTTTCAGGTGCAAGCCACTTGAAACCAAGACGTGCATAGATCATCCGTGTAAGGTAGTATTAACAATCTATCGTTCGAGCGATGCGTCCCCGCCTCCCACCACCTATCCCCCTACGCGCTCTAGACTTGTGTTACTTGTTCCAACAATCTACCTAAAAGTACCGCAGAATATCCATCGCCTAAAGGCAAATTCCATATCTGGCTGTCCATCTTGCTTTCTTTTTCACTCCTGGGTGAATTGTTTAGAGCCATATGAAGTATGTTACGAATCATGTTATGCTTAGTAAAAGCTAGATGTGCAGATTCATGGCGAGAATCATACCGGGGTTGGTGGGCTTGATAAAGAGCTTCGTTCTTAACGTTGTTCGGTTGTTCCTGCTATCTACCACCATGAGTATTTAAAAAATTGGACTTCCTTTCTGTTTCTTGTACGTCCCATCGTAAAGGCTAAGTTTAGATGCTGGTTGTTCATGAACTTTAAAAAGTTATCCAAGGGCACGCTCTTCGTGCGTCCATACTCCAGCATACTGATCGATGTATCTAGTTAAGAAAGTTGGTTTTAATGGGCTGGCGGGCAGGGCCTTCGTTTCAAATTGGTCTAAAAGCATTATCGCCAGAGAAGCGCAGGGGTTTCCCCATGGCTATGCCCAATATCTGTCGATAGTAGTCATCTCCGAACGAGAAAACATTGTCCTGGAGAAAGTGTTCTGAAAGACTACAGATATCCTCTTTCAATAGACTGGAAGCATCAATTTCATGGAATTGTTCGTCAACCTTAGCTTTCACCGCAGCGAAAGTCTCATTGATTGGAACATTGCCACATCAATTGACAACATATCTATACTGGAGAAAATGCTGCCCTCTGGTAACCCTTCTGAATGTAGATGGTCGGAAGCCTTTTTTAGGATAGTCTCTGGTGTCCCACAGATGAGTTGGAGCAAACCTAGCAAGTTGGTTGAGCGTTTTCTCTAAAGGAGACGATTTTTTCTTAGCACCACCGTACGCACACATGACGGATCTTTGAGGCTTTATGGTGGACCTCTCTATTCTCCTATTTTTCTGCGAGGGATGGAGCTATTAATATTGCCCTATTTAGTCTAGAAGTCATTTCAACTTAATTCAATTTTAGAACCATTCCACTTTCGTTCAGCGTGCCGAGATCCACACACAACTGTTAGATCTATGGACGCGGTTGGTTTCCTGAGCGTGGGCCATTTTGGACATGCCCACCATCGTTCTGTTTCCTCTTTCGCCGCACGCCAGCCGGCCATTTCCGGCGTTGAAATGGCCGGCGCGCGTTGCGGCCGTTTCGGCCGGCTACGGTCGATATTGGGCGGGCTCCGGTCCATCACGGCCGTTGGCCACGGCGGGCCGAGGTCCGCGCCCGTCACGACACGGGGACGTCAGCGTCCCCGCCCGGGCCCGCTTCGACCCCGGGTCACGCACTAACGATCACGCATAGCTAGCCGTAACCGCACCGGCCAGGAGTCACGGGAGTGCTCAGTAGCTGGGCGCAGGGTCCAGTGATGTCACGCAGTTACACGGCTTGCCAATCGGTAGCTAACAATGCGCTGCGCGACATCACAGCAACGTCCAGTGATGTACATAGTCGCGACTGTCGGACCGAAACCTCGTGCGTCGCGCTGCGTCGCACGGACGTCAAGTGACGTCACACCATCACATGGCTCGCGTATGGAAAACACTATGTTTATCGTTTGACGTCACACCATTTTACGGCGTGCGAGTGGCAGGTGTCGTGTCTGCGGAGTGACTGTATGGCCACGTCCGCAGCTGCTGCTGGACCGCGGCGCGGTAGTGGAGCACGTGGACCTGAAGGGCATGCGGCCGCTGGACCGCGCCATCGGCTGCGGTCACGTGCAGGTGGTGCAGTGTTTCCTGAGGAAGGGCGCCAAGCTGGGCGCTACCACCTGGGCCATGGCCGACGGCAAGCTGGACATCATGTGAGTGTGGTGCCGCCCCGGCGCTGAGAGCGATGAGACTGCGGGGATGTCCGCAGACGCCGCAGTGCCAGCGGGGGAGGAGATTGAACGTCGTCAGGGTATGAACTGCGTGCGTTTTGAGCGGAATGTTGGACTCAGTGGGAGCTTAATGCTTAATATTATCTGTCCGGTAAGTAATTTGTATGTTCACATATAGATGCATATATATATATATATATATATATATATATATATATATATATATAAATGCATCATGCATGCTACGCTTTGTTGATTTCTGGGTTATTTGTGATTTGGCTTTTGTCGGACTCGGTTTTTGTGTTGCGTTATTTGTTCCGCTCGTTGCCGGTGCTACTCTGACAGCTCGATGCTCCAATAGGTCCGATGCTCGATGCTCCAATAGGTCCGATGCTCGATGCTCCAATAGGTCCGAATATGTGTGCTAGGAAACGCTTGCATCAGAACCCGAGGCTACTGAATTGAAGATCACGTGCATGCACCATGTTACTCTCCAGAACACTTTAATGTCCCCGCGGCGGAAACCAAGGATCACTTGGTACCAGAATGCCGTGCGCGTGCCAGATGGCTTCGTCGATATCCTTTTAGTGAGCTCACGCAGGGCACCGTCAGTCATGCCGCTGTCGCCTTCAGCGTGATTGAATGCACCGCCGTCACCAGGTTCACCTTGTTGAACAAGCTGAACGATGACGGCATGACGCTGTACAAGAAGTGCCGCATGCAGGAGGCAGACCATCGCTTTACCTACGCGCTGAAGAAGTTCCCCGAAGGCAAGCTGCGTGAACACGAGGAGCTGTTCCGCCGGCTGCACGTCAATCTGCTACTGAACCTGTCGCGCTGCAAGCGGAAACTCGGCGTAAGTGCGCGCTGGTCGATGGCGCCCGTGTTTGTTCCGCACGGCGGCCCACGGCTCTCGCCGGCCAGCTTCTCCTTGTGTTTGTTCCGGGATGAGGGATAACGACACTGGTGTCGGTTTCCCCAAAGAAGCCAAACATAAACTGCGTTGACGTGTTGTCAGTTTCAGAAGAAGTAAGGCTTGTAGAAGTAAGGTTTGCATACAATTTAGTTAACACGTTTCGCGCAACGAATTGCGCCATCGTCCTAAGTGACCGTTTGGCAACCTCCATAGTGGATTTACGACGAATGACCGGAGCACAGCGTCGCGGGGCACACACGTGTGGTCCGGGCTGCACACATGACTGCACATGTGCCGTGGAGACCGGTGTTGCCGGCACCTGTGCACCGCATGGAGCTGATGTTGGTCGCCTGACCATCCGCAGGAGCACGCCAAGTCCGCCGAGCTTGCTACCCTGGCCATGAACGTGCGACCGGAGGCGTTTGAGCCCTACTTCTTCCGGGCGAAAGCCAAGCACTCGCAGAAGTGAGTCTTCGCCGCACGAACGAGTCGATGAAGGAGTTCATTTTACACTTTGTATCGCGTCTGCAGTGTGGGGATTCTAGTCGTGCAAAATGCCTGTCTCACTCAAAAATGAATGGTAGTCCATTTGGCCTAGATTTCGTATCCTGCGAAAGAGGCTTTATGTCGTTTCCAACAGGCGTCAGGTGGCAAGTAATAAGGTTTGTTCACGACGTATGTTTAACACCGGATAGACGCCACAGTCTTCGCGTGGCGCTGAGCAGCCCAGGCAAAACCCGCATCTGCGGCTCTCCAGCCACGGATCCCCCACGACGCGTCGCGAATCGAGCCCGGGCCCTGCGCCTGTGCAGCGCGGCGGACCGCTGACGCCCGTCCTCCGGCGCGCAGGGAGCTGGACGCGGCGCTGGCGGACCTCAGCGAGGCCCTGCGGCTGGCGCCCAACAACCGCGAGGTGCGCCGCACATTACTGCAGGTGCGCGAGCAGATCCAGCACCCGGAGCTGGTGCCGCGCCCCCACCTGCTCGCCTCCATGGACCCGCTCGTCATGTCCCAAGGCTGAGCGCGCCCGGCGCCGCCGCCGCCGCCGCCGCCGAGAACTCATGACGTCACTGCGCGCCGCTGCCCGCCCTGTGCCAAAGACGGGGAATGCGAGGAAATCAAAAGAAGGATTCCAGATAACTGCATTTATCTGCGCGAGTTCTTGTTGACGTGGCAGCTCAGAGGATTTGTCCCGCATTTTACCACATGACGGCTTCGCGTTGGTGCCCAGCATGTGCTTGTGAGTTACATAAGGACGCATGACGCGGACGTGGCGCCAAAGGTTTGACGGCGTCCTGATTTTATAGGATTAAGTCTTGTTACGTTCGGAAGTGCTTGGTCGTCCTTAATGCCGCTTTTTAGTGTGCTAGTGCGTATGTTCGATGCCCACTGCTGTCAGTGAGTCGCTGCCGGTCGCAGCGGCGAATCGCATCGCGTGATAACTGTCCATCTCCAGAAATTCCGTGACAAAGTTCCTACGATAACTTCTGACACACTCCATCTGAATGTCCCGCGCTCTCCCTGGTGATATTTAGCCCCCACGCGTTGCCGGCTCCCGATGGGCCCTAGGCCGCCGCCGCCGTGTCGCGTGTAACGTGTGTCCGCTTTCCGAGTGCTCTAACGCTAACCGGCCGCGGACGGGGTGTCTCGAGCCGACCGTGGCCGGCCGTGTGACGCTGCCGATCACCTGTGTACGGGCCAGACCGGAGTCGGGTCGGCCGCTGCGGGTGAGGCCGCCCGGAGGCGCCACGTGAACAGCTGCTCGGACGCGGCCCCGCGCAGCTCCTGACCGCGAGGCCGGGTGTTGGAAGACAGCTGGCGAGCCGTGACGTCACCGGCCCCGGCGGTGCCGGCGCCCCCTGTGACCCAGTGCCCGCTACGGACTGCAGCAGCCCGCGCCCCGACCGCACACCGCTGTGACGGGCAGGTGACGAGGCAGGACCGTGCCTGTTGTTCTCCGTAGGGCGGTTCCGATGTACGCCATCAATAAACGCTAGAGAGCTATTGGATGACGTTTGCGGCATTGCTGTGGCGCTGTGAGAAGGTGAGGGGAGAGTTGGACACGTTACAGGGGCTGACAGCGTATGCCGGAGTTAGGCAAGGCATCCAGCCAAGCGCGGTGTTTCAGCTGATCGGAGAACTCACGCAGTTAGGAATAACACATGCACAGACAACAGAAGCGCAGGGGTGGCAGCCTCCGTCACGAATTTGAGCCATTTTTGCACGAACGCACTGCCTCTCAAGTACCCGCATAATCATCAAGTGGTTTTCGGAATGCAATGACAAAGCTTAGAGTCGCACATAGCCGTTACCGCGCTTATTGCATGAAAGACTGGTGGCAAAGTTGAAACGGCAGCCATTGTGCGAGCTGTCTTTTGACACCAGTTCAACGTGAGTTCCGCTGTACCGGCCACTACCCACTGCGGTGCAGAGACATTAGTGGCAGTCGGGCTCGGACGCAGGTGGACTCTTGAAATTGATCGTGTTTAAATAGCCAGAGTGAGCCATGAAACGTATTGGCCATGTCGTCCTATTTCTGAGCTACCAGTTTGTTGGATAAGATCGCTCATTGTTCAAAGTTGTGCTGTTGCAATCCCAGAGCTGGCCACTGCCTTACAGCCTCCGTGAGCTCTGCGAACCAGGACAGCCCTCCTTGGGATGGCTTTGCGGCAAAGTTTTTCGTTCAAACTCTTTGGTAAAGTGGGGTGTGTTCGAAGCATAAGTGAAGTTAGTCATTTGAGGTTAAAGGTTCTTCTAACCGCTCGTCCGTACGGCTTTTTGGAATGTCGTGCATTCTGAAGGCTTGTTTAAACGTAGCTGGGTTCGCCGGATCGGAGTACACACAGCTATCATAAATGTGCAGTGTCTGAGCATCGAAGTGTACACCCAGTTGGGATCGGTAGAGGATATAGCTTACAGGTAATCGCCTGTACCGTCAGCACCTTTTCCGGTGCATTAATCCGTCGCGTAAGAATACTTCGCTCACGATTATCCAACGCAGATAAATGGTGTGCGTAATGACGTTAAGCGAGGGCCAACTAAAGCAACTGCACGCAAACTTTCGGCTACCCGAGACCCTTCCAATAAAGTTACAATGCTACAAGGAACACAAAAGTATGACCCGTCGGGAATCCGCTCGTTCCTTTTCCCCAGATGTCGCTTGACGCCGATCGTTCATGCACTCGATTTGACCTTGAAGTTAGTGTCATGAGAAACCATTACTTTGAAAGACAGTGTCCACGAACAGCGCAAACTCCAGATCAATGGCTGTCTTGCATGTCATTTTATGCAACTATGTACCAACCGCCCACGTCTCTAGTTGCATTTATGTGAATCGACAAAAAGAACTGAATTACATTTAGTGCGAGCATAAGGTTCAAGTTCGCGATCATTACAGTAATAATAACCAGAGGCTGCATAGGGGCGGATCCAGAAGGACGACACGGGGCCATGACCTCTCCCCTGGGACCCGTGGGGCCCATAGGCTCCGAAATATATGTATGTTCGGCCGGCCCATACCCGGCCGAACAGATGCGGTTTTTAACAAACATAACAACCAAATTGGACGTCTTTTGTTTTCAGACGGCCAAGAACAATAGCAAGCGCAAGTGAAGGGTCCAGAAATATGCGAAACTAATCCTTCTCGGATTGGGAGGGTAGTGATTGGGATATTTTCACGCTTATTACGCGCTCCAGAGGCCCTATGCCGTTTCCGGGGACCTATAGCTTCACTTGCGGAGTCAACACTATCGCAAAGGAGCCTCCCACGTTGTCCTTGATTTTGCTCTTTGCATTTACTCCGCAGGGCCCTGCGCCGTAGCTGGGTCCTTGCTGCTAGCGTGCCGGGACACTTTTGTCAATCAGGGGTCTCCTACGGATTCTTCTCATTCGCCCGAAAGACTCTGTTCATACGCCGCAACCGGAAGCATGATATATCAATTTGACGGGGTATTGTCGGTTGTTCAGGGGCGTTCCACATTGGTCTCGGTTAATGTATCGACACACTCGTGATATTTCCAAGGGCCCTATCTATTGGTCTAGAGCCCTTCCAATTTTCTGTCACTTGCTTATGGCCGTGTGCTCTTGTCGGGGGGGCCCCATGCTCGCCTCCTCTTGTCGGGGGCCCCCATGCTCGCCTCCTCTTGTCGGGGGCCCCCCATGCTCGCCTCCTCGGCCACACTGGATTGTTCGGGGGCCCCATGCTCGCCCCCTCGGCCACACTGGATTTTTTGGGGGCCCCATGCTCGCCTCCTCTTGTTGGGGGTCCATGCTTGCCTCCTCCTGTCGGGGGCCCCCGTGCTCGCCCCCTCCCGTCGGGGGGCCCCATGCTCGCCTCCTCTTGTCGGGCCCCATGCTCGCCTCCTGGGCCACACTGGATTGTTCGGGGGCCCTGCACATTGGGTTTTGGTATTTGAAGATAGGGCCCTAAACTCCTGTCGAGGGTCACCTGATAACGTACTCAGGTTCACTCCATCTTTCGGGGGCCATCCGCACTGGGTCCTTGGTACTTCTTATTTGAATGGAGGGTCCTACGCTCTGGTCGGCACCCCTTCCTTCTGTTAACTCGCTCGGGCACACTTGATTATTTCGGGGCCCTCCATATTTATGTCTTTGGTACTTCTTATCTGAGTGAATCTGAGTGGCCCTATGTTCTTCGTGGGGCCCCATCTATTAAGCTTACTAGAGTTGGTAGCGGATACAAAGAAGGGGCACGGGACCACGCCTCCCCCCCCCCCTTCGTGCTCCGAGGGGACTCAAAGGCGGCGAAGGGGCGCATAACCGGAAGAACGGAAGCAGTTTTCTAACAAACAAACAAAATGGGGGGTATTTTGGCCTACAGATGACCTAGAGGCAGTTGCAAGCGAAAGTGAAGAGCCCATGAGCAGACAAAAGGGTTTCCTCGCTCTTCGAGAGGGTGGTGATTTGGGAAAATTTGGGGGTTCATTACGTTGCTCAGAGGTCTTACGCTGTTGCGGGGCCCATATATCCACTTGCCCAGCAAAAAAAAGAGAAAAAAAAACAACTGAAATTTCATAGAGGAGTGATCAGACCCGCAGCCGAGGGCGATGGGACCAGGGCAATGGGCCCAGGGCAGTGGGGCAATGGGGTGATGGGGCTTGGCTTGGAATGAGTCTCCGAGGCACGGGGGCCGAACGCCCCACTGGTTATATAGTGTTAGCCGCCCGAAATCTTGGCTACGCCACTAATAGGACCCACCTTTTACATTAACAGTCGTTTTCCCTCATAACATGATTTAGACCACATGGCCCCCCCCCCCCCTCCCCAACTCCCATTTGCTACCAAGGCCCCTGGTCTGGCTTGCACCTCCCCCCGTCTGGAGGATATCCACGCTATGTCGCCAGAACTGGTAGAAAAACCCCGGGCCAGCCAAGACTCGAACCTACGACCTCCCAGTCATGAAGCCAGTTTATGGTCCGATTCGGCAGTAGATTTCGTGCTCAAATGCGTGAGTTCATTACACGAACGTGGTTCGGGTTACATCAATGATGTCGTGCACGCATGATGTAGGTCGGCCGAGAGATGAGGATGACACAGGATAGGAGCTATCAAATATTTATTATCAGCACGCAATTTCTTTAATTAGTACAAATGCATGACAGAAGGGAGTGCTACTGGGAAGCGTACGCTTGGCAGGAGAAGAACTTACTTGTTCGTACAGAAGCTTCATGAAAAGCATGCTAAAGCATCCCTGACAGGGTCGGCAATATCGACTAAGGGCAGATGCAAGCCTGATCACTAGGGTGTGTCATCAGTAACAAAACCAAATGAGACGAAGAATTATTTGGCGCAGGAGTCCAAAAGTACACGGCATGGGGAACAGTTTCTCCAAAAACTTAAATTCGTGAGGCACGAGTCGATCGAAATATCGTCGAAAGCCGACGCCCGGCGTTGCAGTCACCCAATGCTGGGCGACGCCCGCCGCCGCAGGTAACACCAAGCCGTGGGCGGCAACCGACACAAAATACCTTTGGCGTATAGAAACGATGCAACCGAGCGCTCCTCAAGCCGTCGTACGAGCATTGTCCCGGTTTAAGGTCCATATTTGGATCAGACCTTGCCGCTTGATTGCCATTTGGCGGAAAATTTATGTGCTGCTGAGTATAAACTCGTACGAATATGCTGGTTAGTAATGCTTTAGACTTTACTTCTCTAAGACAACTCATGTGATGCAAAACAAAGCTATGTATAGCATATGACTCAGAATGTAT